TCTGTCTCTGAAAAATGAATAAACCTTAAAAAAATTAAAAAAAATAAAACAACTTTATTGAGCTATATTTTACATATACTAAAAGTCACTCCTTTCAAGTATATAATTAAGATTTTTAGCAATTTTACCAAGTGGTGCAACCATCACCACAGGTCGGTTTTAGAACATTTCCATCCCTCCAGAAAGACCCCTCGTGCCCATGTATTGTGAATCCCTACTCCCTCTCCTCACAGCCACCTGTCTACAGTCCTGACCATTTGTACAAATGGAACGAGACACTGCAGGGTGTCTTGTGTCTATCTTCTTTCACTCAGCACAACTACTTTTGCTGATGTCGCCTGTGTCACCCCTTCCATGGGTCTCATCCCATGGTGTGGTGGACCACATTTTGTCTGTCCCTTTACCAGTTGATTGATTACAGTATCCTTGAGACTGAATTTTTTCATGTATGTCCAAATATTTTCTAGAATACATCGCTACTTGTAAAATCTTTGGGTGCCCAAGTGTTTTAATGTTTTAATTCTGCACCGAGCCCAAGCTCTCTCACATGGACGGGGAAGCAGATAACACCTTCATGTGGCACTTTTCTTACTAGACAGCTTCCTAGTTGAGTAGGTCATTCATGTGGGCTTTTCTTGAATTCAGCTTGCAGACTGTGGGAGAGTGAGAGGAGGGGTCTGAGGTCCTGGGGCTACAATATTAAAATGGCCAGGAATAAAAGCAGTACCCTTATGTGGCTAATCAAGAAATAGCTCCCCCCACCTCACCTCACAAGAAATAGCTGCTCAGTTACCACTGGTTGAAGAGGAGAACCAGATAGAACAGGAGGAGCAGCTGGAACAGAGGAGGAACAGCTAGGACAGGAGGAGTAGCTGGAACAGAGGAGGAGTAGCTAGGACAGGAGGAGTAGCTGGAACAGAGGAGAACCAGATAGAAGAGAAGCAGCTGGAACTGAGGAAGAAACTGCTTGCACCGTGGAAGAATGAGTGTTCTGTCACTTGTTCAATTTACGTGCTAGCAGGCGGTTCTAGCTGAGGCATTTTCCTGAGTTGATGAAGACATGAGGCCTAGGACCACACCACCAACTGTGCATTCCAGGGACAAATGTGTGTCCAGGCAGCAAGGATGGAGGGGAACGGCTGGATCAACGAGCCACTGGCTGCTTGCTGGGTGACCGATTGTTGAGGCTCCTCTGCCTGGACCTCTGGTGTCACAGCCCAGTGCTTCCTGGGTGTAAGCAGCATCCTCTTACCACAGGGTCTTTCTTCTTCCTTCCCTGCACCATCAGCAAGAGGAGACAGGAGGAGGAAGAGGGGAAGAGTGCTCTCCCAGGAAGTGAACGCCCAACTTCAGGCGAGGGAGACAAGACTTCTCTCCCCACCAGCCCTCAGCGCAAACTAGTGTATAATCTCTGGAGCTGAGGAGGCAAAGCCCCCTGGGGCCCAGGAGCAATGACCGCTTGGGAGCATCATGACTCTGATGACGAGACTCATGTTTGCAGACGTGCTACTGGACACCCAGGGGGCCAGCAGGCTAAACATGCTTCCACTCGGCAACACTGATTTGTGTGAACTAAACCCGCCACCTCCATGACCGCCAGCTATCCTGACTGCAGTCAAGCGTCTGTGCCCCATGTGCCCCTCTGTCCGAGACGCTGTGCCTGAATGTCCACAGTAGCATTTGCACAGCCAGAATTTCTGTGCGGAGGAACATTTACTTAATTACACTTTAGAGTGACTCGTGAGGACAGAGGCTATCCTCGCTGAGATGAGCTACAAACATGAGTTTTCACTGAGTCATCCAGCATGTGTGTGACTGTGCGTTTTCTACCCTATACCAACAAGAAAAGTTAGGCCCTGGAAACAATGTCCAGGGAGTTCTTGCTTTGTTGAAATTTTAATTGAACTGCAAGGAGGTGGAATGTTCTTTAAAAAGGCTACCCCTAAGCCAGTAGTTTTATTATAACATCTTTCGCAGTAAGTCTGTGTGTGCTCTATGCTGTGGGAATCCTGTCAGAATTTCAGGCATGAGCAGAAACCCTCAATTCAGAAGTGACAGGCCCACCCAGAGGCATGGGCAACTCCCTCCTTGGGCCAAGTGGGCAGGCCAGGGGTTGCCCAGGTGAGGAATCCACAGTTTCTTCACTGTGTGGGATGCCGGGGCTAACCCTGATTTCTTCACTTCCTCCAAAGTTGTTGCTTTTGTCCTTCACAGAACATTTCTTTGTTCGAAAAACGGGAAATAACTGACTTAAGAAATATGTCGTCATTTTTTTTTGTTGTTCTTGATGCCCTGCAAACACTCCTTTAAATAATGTCTTCCCTCCAGAGCATTATGGGAGACGATCCCAGTACTTAGGGTTGTACTTCAGCACATTTGCGGGCCTTTGAGGTGTGAGTAACTTAGGAGCTTGTACTATGAGCGTAGCACCCAACTTACCCACAGGAAAAGGGTATTAATGCAATGTGACAGGGTGAGCAGTGACCCCAAAAGGATGTGTCTACTCCCAGAACCTGTGAACGTCACCTTACTTGGAAAAGGTCTTTGTAGATATGAATAACTGAAGTGCTGGGTGGGCCCTGAATCCAAAGATAGGTGTCTTTTTAAGAGAAAGGAGGAGGTTTGAGGCACAGAGACATCGGGAGAAGATGGAGGGGTGGGGGAGCCCCCTATAGCTGGAAGGACCCTCCCCTAGAGCGTCTGGAGGGAGCACAGCCACGCCAATATCTTGATGTCAGACTTCTGGCCCCAGAACTGACAGGATAAATGTCCTCAGCCCCACTGTCTGCGTTCCTTGTAGCAGCCACAGGGACGGGGCACACACAAACATTGTTTTCAACAGTCGATATGGATGTGGACACAGGCTTCTCCTGTGTCACTGCCCAGAGAAAAGTTACAGCATGGAGTGGGAGAAGGGAAGAGGGGAAGGTGGGGGGAGGGATGTGGCAGGTGGGTTAGGGAGGAGCAGGAAGGGTCAGGGTTGGGGCCGTTACCTGGACTCTCCCCTGTGGTGCAGGAGGGGCCGCTGGAGCCTGCACATCTGGTCCCCTCGGCTTGTCCTCCTAAAAGACCTCCAGGCCTGGTGCTGAGTGAGTGGTGGGAGGCCCGCCGGGCCTCACCTCGGGAGCTCCTGAAGGACCTGTCACAGGACCGAGACCGCCTGGGAAGGGTGCTCCTAGCGGCTCCTGGATCGCTTTCCTGACTTGAGATCTCCCCGTGGTCTCCCCAGAGGCTGGGGGTTTCCTTCTGGGTTCGGCTGGCTGCTGCCCCAGCCGCTATGGTCTCGGAGCTGCAGGCCTCATCCCCAAGGGACTCTTCGGAACTGGAGCCCAGGGGCATGGGGTTCCGCAGGGCCTCCATATAGGACTTCCTAAACCAACGTCTGGCCTCCATGCAGGCTGGGTCCCTGGGTGACTGCCTTCTGGAACTTGGGCTGCCCATGTCCTCACGGACAGTGAGGGCCTGGGGACCATCTCTTTTGTCTGTGGGGTCCAGGCTCTCTCCTGGTCCTTCCCACAAGCCTGGCTCTGAGGGCCCAACCCCTACAAGGCCTCCGTCAGAGCTCCAGAACGTGCTTCTAGGGTTTTCCCACCCAGCCCTTCCTGCGGCAGGCTGGTGGATGGGCTGGTCACTGCCGGGTTGCCCACCACAGTGGGGCAGGGTGGGGGTGTCACTGGGAGGGGTACTCTCATGGGGACGAGTGCTGGCCATGACTGGTGCTGGGGCCAGAGCTTTGGAGGCACTTCTAGGTGGTGGCTGCTCAGGCCTGGGGCAGCTGCGGTGGGGCAGGGCGGTCCTGAATGTTGGGACAAAGATGGGGTCTGTGACACTGCTCCATGGGGTGCGGAAGACGGCGGAGCCTGAGGTCAGCAAGCAGTTTTGCAAGGGGACACCGTTCCGCTCCCCGTTCAGCTGTTCCAGGAACTCTCCTGTGAAGACGCAGCTGTACATGGCCTCAGGGACAGTAACTTCTTCTGAGCCCCGTCCAAGCTGAGAAAGGCATTTTAAAACCAGTCTGGCTGACTGCTTCCCCACTGATGTGACCTGTAGATAGAAGTCCCCAGGCCTGAGCCTAACTCCGCGGAGGGATGCCAGCTGCACCACGACCTTCTCATGGATGCACAGTGGCCAGCCTTCATGGAAGAAGATGAGGCCTGTGTACCTGGCCTGGGATGAGAGAGGGAGGGAAGGAGGTTAGACCTTCGTGGTAGCTCCTCATGGGAGGCTGGGGGGAGGCGGGCAATAGGACAGGAGGGAGGAAGCCACTGGAGGAGCCACCCAGGCAGTCCTACCACAGGCAGCTTGGGGACTCTGGGCCAAGTCTCTCCTAGGAGCCGTCTCCACCTGGGGAAGGGTCTGGGCCCTCACAAGCTCACCACACCAGCCCCTGGTCTAAGCTTCACAGCATTTCTGGCTCTCCTAGGTGCCTACAAGCAGCCCCCCGAGAGCAGGGCTACTTCTGGAATCACAGGGTCAGGGGCACAGTGAGGGGGTGCCAGGACCCACAGGGACACCAACAATATGGGCTGCAATCTCCCACCGAATACAGTGGGTCCTTCTACTTATTTGAAGGAGCCCATGAAGTTTACAACACAGCTGTAGACTATGCAGGTGAGTTCCCAAGCACATCTTTGGAAAGAACTTGCTGTAGAAAAGGTTTCGATGGCAGGACGGATAAGACACAGGCAAACACAGGCAGCGTCTGGCATGGGCAAGAGAGTGTTTGGCAGTTTGGGGAACAAGGGGTGGGACCCCCAATGTATCAGTAGCTGCAGCTCACACCTAACAGGGGAGCACACTCTTTGGTACCGGTTGTTACCATACACTTTGCTTCTCCCCACTCCAGCACTGACGTATTGCACACACATTATTACAATAATCGAGAAGATGAAAAAGAAGTGATCTCATTCTGATATATCTTGAGGTTTTTTTACTTTTTTTTTTTTTCACCTTGTCCACGCAGGACACAACTTCTCTAGACTGCAGTAACAATGTACATATAACTTAATGTTCCAGTTTGTAGTCATCCTTAGCCAACATTTCTCCATGTTCCTCTTTCATAGTGGCCATGCTGGTGGTGACTTCCTGTTCTCTGTGGGAAATCTACAGGGCTTCTCTTCCTTCCTTCTTTCCTTCCTTCCTTCCTTCCTTCCTTCCTTCCTTCCTTCCTTCCTTCCTTCCTTCCTTCCTTCCTTCCTTTCCTCCGTGGGAAATCTACAGGGCTTTGCTTCTTTTCTTTCTTTCCTTTTCTCTTCTCTTTTCTTTTCTTTCTCTCTTTTTAGTAGGCTTCACACCCAGTGCAAAACCCAACACAGGGCCTGAACTCACAACTCTGAGATCAACACCTGAGCTGAGATCAAGAGTCAGACATTTAACCACCTGAGCCACCCAGGTGGTTATCTGTTTCTATCATAAATAAGAAATGCAAGCAACATTTCCATGATACCATTTCTTGTTCCTTTATTTTTTAATCTTTTTAAAATGTTTATTTATTTTTGAGAGAGAGACAGACAGAGCGCAAGCAGGGGAGGGGGGGAATGAGTGTCTTTCATGATTCTTGGCAGTATGACCAATTTGTCATCAAAAGACACATTGTCAGCAGTGATGTCACTTTACCAAGATTCAGTAGGACAAGGCTTTTAAAAAAATTATTTTAATGTTTTTTATTTACTTTTGAGAGAGAGAGAGAGAGAGAATGAGCGGGGAAGGGGCAGAGAGAGGGAGACACAGAGTCCAAAGCAGGCTCCAGGCTCTAAGCCGTCAGCACAGAGTCCGACACGGGACCAAACTCCTGAACCACGAGATCATGACCCGAGCCAAAGTCAGATGCTTAACTGGCTGAGCCACCCAGGCTCCCCAGGACAAGCCTTTACATTGAGGAATCTTTTTCTAAACTAGTATACATACTGTGGAATATTGTTGTTTTAATTTGTACTTATGTGATAGTCAAGCCAACACTGTTTTCTATATTTGTTTTTTCTGTAAATTTTCTGTATGTCTTTTTGTTCCTTTTATGAATTGTGGCCTTGTTTTTGCCTTCTTAGTTGCTGTCAGGTTTGTAAAAAAATTGACAATTTTTTTTCTACCCACCATTAGCAAATGTTTGTGTTATGTGTCTATTAGGCACTCATATTTGTCCCAGTTTACTTGCTTTATAGTTATGTTTCTTTCCTCCCTATAGAAGCTTAAATTTTATACAAGTTGAATTTCTTGACTTTTTTGTGGTATCTTTTGTCACCTTAAAACTTAGAGTTTGATGTCTTACTGAAGGTTGCCTTTCGCATTTATGTTAGTTTTCCCAAGAGTTGAGGTTTACAAAATACTTAATGTTTTCATACACCTGGAGTTGGAAATTGTACCTTAAATACACTGGTAGATTCTTTTTTTAGATTTTTAAAAAACGTTTAGTTATTTTTGAAAGAGAAAGCTTGAGCAGGGGAGGGGCAGAGAGAAAGGGAACCTGAGCTGACAGCACTGAGCCAGTTGTGGGGCTCAAACCCACAAACCGTGAGATCATGACCTAAGCCGGACGCTTGACCAACTGAGCCACTCAGGCTCCCCCCACACTGGTGTATTCCTAAGAGTGAAGGCCTCATTAAGCAGGTCCTTGCCGTGTACTCACACTGGGTCGCCAAGAAGGGGGAGGCACTGTCCAACCTCCAGGAGCCACGGCCTGGGAGGAAGGTGAGGGTCTGGTGCAGACACAGCTAGTATTTACTGAGCACCTGCCAGGTACCCTCACACCTGTAGCCCCATTTAATTAAAAATTAAGATTTTTCAGGGGCGCCTGGGTGGCTCAGTTGGTTGAGCATCCGACTTCAGCTCAGGTCATGATCTCATGGTTTGTGAGTTCAAGCCCCGCGTCAGGCTCTGTGCTGCCAGCTCAGGGCCTGGAGCCTGCTTTGGATTCTGTGTCTCCCTCTTTCTCTGCTCTTCCCCTGTTGGCGCTCTGTCTCTCTCTCAAAAGTGAATAAAGATTATTTTTTTAAATTAAGATTTTCAGATTGGAAAAATAATACTCGTGCATTGCAGAAACTGGAGGGTTCAGAAAAAACAAAACAACAATCCCAACACCAATCCCCAGAAGTCAGAATTGTTGACATTTATGTGTGTTTCATTTCATTATTTTTTCTTGTGTATTTTTTCAAATGTTAACAGAGAGAGAGAGAGCCCGCGTGCGTGTGAGAACAAACAGGAGCCGGGCAGAGAGATAGAGAGAGTGAGAGAGGGAGAATCCTAAGCAGACTCCACGCTGCAAGCACAGAGCCCAACGTGGGGCTCGAACCCATGAACCAGCTGACACAAAGAATCGAACACTTAACTGACTGAGCCACCCAGGTGCCCCTTTTCCCGTGTATGTTTAATGGCTGAGATCACATCACAAAAATACAGCAGTGCATGGTAATTTTATCACCTAATGGTATTTCATCAGCCTCTCCTGTGCTATGAGAAACTCTTCGCCCAGACCACTTCAATGCTGCATATTTATTTTCCCCCAATTTTGCTCTGACAAATTAAAATACCATATCCATTGTTGGGCCTGGAGGCCCACCTGGGTGTCACATGCTTCTGTGGAATCTGAGGCCATGGAGCAGGTTGATGGGTGTGGCCATGGCATGGGGTGGAGCCAGTGCCCACCAATCTGGGTGGCCACAGGTGTGGCCAGTGTCCTTGCTATATGGTCAGCACCCACCTCACTCTGGACATGAAGATCCAGGACATCATCCAGCCCTGTGGTCAGCAGCAGTGAGATTCCCAAGGACCACTTTCTCCCAAGGAGAGAAGTCCAACCTGAGCTGTGGCCTAAAGGTATGCAGCTGGGGTCAGTGGTGTGAGCCCCAGGAATGAGCTTCATGACAGAAAGTTCTGGAAGCAGAGGGTCCAAGGCCGACCATCACTGGTAGGTGACCCCTTCCTGGGGGGCCTGAGCAGACTCAAGGTGGGGAGTATGGGAGGACTGTGCAGCCCTCACACCCCAGCCCTGTCACTCCCCCTCCTGGCATGAAAACAGCTCCACTGCCCAGACCCCAAAGGGCACTGCCAGGGAGAAACCACCGAGGCTGGGGAGAGGCTGGCCCCTCTCCTCCTCTGCTCTTTCATGCTACTGCAGGCTGGGTGCAGATGTGAAACAACAGCCCTGGCAGATGTGCTTCCCTCTGTTGGGTGGCTGGGCAGGGGATAAAATGTGCCAAGTATGTGTTGCTGGCATCTTCTGTCTCTGCAGTGGGATGTAATAGCTGTGGAATGGCCTTGAGCAGCTGTGATAGCAGTAGTCATCTTTAACCAACACTGAGTGAAGGCCAACAACACGCTAAGCACTTTGCATCCATGATGGCACTGAACCCTTACTTCACGAGAAGATATGCTGGTTGGGACTCATCAGCTGCAGGTGATAAGATGCCTGCTGAATCTTGGCTAAATGATGGAGAGGAGGAATTCTCTCACTGCAGAGTGTGAAGGACAAAAGCCCCATGGTTGGAGCAGAGGCTCACAGACACCGAGAACTGGGTGCTTTCTCTTTCACAGCCTTCCATGTACATGTGTTTCATTCTGATGCTGGTTACTGCATGGTCCTGGGATGACTTCCCCAGCCTAGTGGTCACACCCTTATACCCAATGTCTCAACCAGGGAAAAGTAGCTTCCTGTGTATTGTCTTTCCTACGGGAGTACGTTCTCATAAATATTCCTGCTCCCAGCAGACTTCTCTTTATCTATCATAGGCCATAAAGGAGCCAGTGATTTCCCCCGGTTACAAGGAAGGCTTGGAAAGTGGATGTTTCTGTAGTGGGAGGCAGCAAAAGACAAGGGTTGGGAAAGACCATAAGCTAGACAGTCAAGTGTCTGCTCAGGCGGGTACTGTTACTACCTTGTCTATAGATGAACAGAATCAAAGACCAGAGAGATGAAAAGATGGCTTGCCTAGGTCTTTACAGAGTTTGTAGTGGCAGAACCCACATCATTCCTCTCACAGAGCCTGCGATCCTAACCCCTGTCCAGTACCACTTGGCAGGGACACCCAGGCAGTCGTCCACAATTCAGGCTGATAAATGGTGAGCACCAAGTGCTGTGATGACACAGAGGACAGAGAATCTTCTTGGGCACGGCCATGGGGAGTGAGCTGGAGAGGAGAGCTGTGGTTGCACTGGCCTTTGAAAGGTAAGTAGAA